CAATAAGTTGCACCAGGAGTTTTTGAGCGCACTTTTGTAGTCTTATATTTTTTCAAAATGCCTCCTCTTAAAATTTAGAATGCCTTATGAGCGTCCTATCCCTTTTTTGTAGATAAACATGGGTTATATAAGGACTGAGTGCACTATCATGCTGGTACTTAAATCATAAGACCGTTGTTCAAATCCTATATTGGGCGTTATTGAGCTCAAGTTGGTTGGGGCTGTCTAACCAACCAACTTTTGTGGATCCTGCCGGAAAAGAACATTGGATTCTTGGGCCTCTCCTGTTTAATAAGCGCATAGTACTCAAGGGAGCTAAAAAATTGTTATTTGAGGAATTGGAGTAAAGAGAAGCAGGTCGACATACTTATGATCATTTAGCGCATTGAGAAAAACAACACAGACAAACTGAAATGATAGAGCGAAAGAAGGGAAGAAGGGCCTACAAGTGGCGCACTCCAGCCATCATAAAACCAATATCATACCATACAAAAAATTAAACAGAAGTAGAGCGCAGTTTTAAGGGGTTTTTTTGTTTGTAGTTGGATTTTTTAAAAGCTGGGCTGTAAAATACAAGCCCCTTCCTGTCCCCCCCCCCCCCCCCCCCCCCCCCCCCATGTCCATATCGTTGTCAATATGTATCAGTGTTTCACCAAATGTCATGTGGTGCTATAGAATTGTCATACCCAGGGATCCCCCCCAAAAAAAACCTTTTCATTCAAATTCTTTCCCCCATAAAGTTTTTCAAATCGAATCGAAACATTTAGAGAACGAGCGTGTTGTACATGAAAAGTTTGTTGGAGCTTTTTAATATTTTTTCAAATTTACGCTTAATAGATCAAAGAAAACCCCAGAATCACTTCGTGGTTTTTTGTTTGTTTGTTTGTTTTTTGGAGGGGGGGTTTGCAGGTTGTTGTTTTTTAAAAGAATATGGGGAAACGATGTCACTGAGCTTGTCACCAGTTTCCAATGCGATAGCATTTGCATACACGTCCGTGAGCGATAAAGTTCACAATAATGCACTTCTCAAAACTAGCCGTTTCGTTCGACATGCTGGCCTCATTTCTAGAACAATGATAACTAAATATTGCCTAGTCTTATCAACATCAACTGCAAAGCAAAATGTTGGATTTCACAGAGCAAGTTTGTTGATCCACGTGCATTAATCCTTCGTCTCGTGTTACCTTTCTCAGCGTGTCAGAACAGCTCCTCTCATCAAATAATAAACAACCAGGATCAATTTCCCTCCCTGTAGAATGACTGTGATCGTGGCAGAACTTTTCGCTTTAAAACAGTTCTTATCTCTCTTTTATGAATAACCGCCCTTTGCTGTCTCTCGCCGACTACAGTCGTGGCCACGCTGCGCTGTTCCTATTGTGGCCAATGGAATGAAATTACAGGCTTTCTCTTTAGTCAAAAGCCAGGCTGCCCCGCGCGAGGTGGTCCAAATCAATGGCAAAAATCTGCAGATTCTATCTCAGACCGTTCTCTTTTAGAAATTTTTTTGAAGTTTCAAAAATAGTTAAAGTTATGTCCTGTACACAGGGGTAAAAAAAGCATGCTGTTGTTACATCCAGATCAAAGTAAAATATTGCTTTGATTTGACTTTGACTCGTATTTTATTGGTGTCTTTTCTAAGCCAGTCTTTTCTCTGATGTCGTTTAAAAAACACTGATACTTTCTTAATTTTTTTCTATCAACTTTTCTTCCTTGCTTGGTCTCCAAAAACAGGCGTAAATGAAAAGCTCCAGGAAGAATAAGCTGTAGATTAGTTAACCCCATGGGGGTTAAGAACTTCTTGACACACCGAGGGATAAAACGGTCTTTTCAAACTCTCGCGAGCGGATCATTGCGTCTTTTGGTGAGGCGAAAACAGGATAAAAGCACGGGAGAAAAATCACTAAAAGGGAAACAAAACGAAACAAAAGTTGGAAGGAGAACCCGGCATCAATTGACTCAATGATTTATGACCAGTTAAACACGATATTGTGCTGCTGTTTATCCTATTTAACAGTAACACTTCATTCTCACAAGTCTCCTCATAAATTTCACATGTGTCGGGACTTCTCTTATGGTAGCCAAAAAGACGAATTGGCTAAAGGAAATTACTTGGTCAGCCATTTTTGCCGTCTTAGTTACAACTGACTATTCTTGTTCCATTCATTAAACGGTTGTATTCTTTTGCGTCGATTTCTTTCTTTCCCCCTCGTTTACCGAAAACGACCACAGTGGCATTTTTCCATTATTCATAGAACCTCAAGGCAGAGAAAGATATCTTTTTCTTTGTCACACAAGCTGTTCCACACAATTAGCCGCACTCCTAAAGAGATTGTCCAAGTTTAAAGTTTAAGCAAGTAACATTTCCAAGGATCCTGTCAGAACTTGACAAAAAGGAATGGAATTGTTCAAGCCTTTAACTTTCAGACTAATGGTTTTTTTATGATCTCGGCGGGGTGCGAGTGAACTCTGTAAGGCAAGATTCGACAAGAGTTTCTTTAAAACGGTTCTTTAGCAGATTTCTTATTAAAGCTCATTTACCCGTGAAAGCAACACTCGCTGGCTCGTGTTTCATGAGAATGCGTACATATCTGTTTCTTTCAAGATCAAGCCTTTTGTCAGTGCTCTGTTGAAAATTCCTCGCCCCATTACGACCTTTCCTTCTCGGACCGTTGGCCAAGCTGGCAACATTCTTTGCTCTTCGATCATACCATACGTCAGAGCTGATTCAAGTTTTTTAATTGTAATTTCAATAATCGCCGCAGGGGCCTTAAAGGTAACTGTTGCATTTATATTTCTTTTTTCTAAATGCTTGCTGCCTGTTAGCACGAGTTCAAGAGAGCCATATAGGTACAATAAGGTCTTTCTCTGCTGGGGGGGGGGGGGGGAGCGAGATAGTGCACACAAACATCAGAGGGAGGGTAATAACTTGGGATGACCTGCAATCAGACCTCCAGCTTGGGGTAGAGTCTCAAATGGGGTTTACTCATAACTGTTTACCTAAGACAGGAAAAACCCAGCAACATTTACACGACTAGTTTTGTGAAAGGAATGCAGACTTAGAAAGACGAAACTGCGATTCCATTCGGCCTGTAAACTCTTAACTAAATGCAAACTAATTAAAACGACTACTTCAGTTCAGCTCTAACACAGTATCAGACACAACGGTTACTCTTATTGATAAGTAGCTCAAGTTTCTCCGTATATGCACTACACAGCCTAACCACTACACCACAGACGCCAGTCGGTCGAAGTCAAAAGTCAAATCCTACCCCATTTCCTTAAAAAAATTACTCCTTGACAGGCACGAAATACCAAGCAGTTGCGTAAACCAGTATTGTGACATGGATCCCTTGGTTTTTTGACAAACATCAAGTGAGCTCTCACAAACACCAATTTTTTCATGTAGGTGCTTTTACATCATCATCGACACAGTTTAGATCATTTAGGCGGAGTCCCCCCGGGGCAGTGCCACTGACTGTCGTGTCTTTAGGCCATTACCAAAGGGGGGGACATTTCTCGTTCAAGCACAGTAGAATTGTAAATGGGCTGATTCATGTTACGCTGATAACTGTGCCTGATCTACAACAGGGAACTACTGCCTTTTCTTTCTTAATCCCTACTATTGTCATTTTCCTCTACTTCTTTTGGATGTTTGTCACTCTCTTGTGACCTGCTATTTCCGGGGTGCCTTGATAGTCGAAGCAGACCTTGTGCTGTTGGAGCTAGAGAGGTGAGCAGAATAAGTCTGATTCCCTGTAAAGACTTCTCTGTTGGCACACTCCCCTTGGCGCTCATATGACCTTATGCAGTTGCGAGCGCCGTAAAACCTCTACTATAAAAAAAATGTATAAAAAATTAGGCGGCGGGTTGTCGACCCTGCCTGTCAAGGACAAGCTGAGATGAGAGGGGTGTAGCATCCCAGTAGAAAGACAGAAATAATCGATTAAAATGTTTATCCCCACTCGGAAATCGAACTCGGGTTTCCTGCCTGTGACAGCGATGCGGCTAACAGATGCACCACGGACGCCAGTCAGTAGAAGTCAAAAGTGAAAGTCCTTACCCATCCTCTTTAGAAGAAACTCCTTGAGAGACACGAAAAACCAAAGCCGTCTTTCAAACCAGTATTATGGAGTAGATTTCTTGGTTATTGACAAATTAAGCTAATGTGAGCACTTAGAGGAATATGGTAGGGAGCAAAGTGTACACTGGAAGTTTAAATTTGCCAGGTCGAAAGTAATGACGCCATTTGGGTGTCCGGGAGTGTTGAAAAAAAACCGTAAGGCTGGAAAATATTTCCAAGTCGACAATCCAATGTCGAGACGAAAAACGGTTGTCTAAGACAGGTGTACGTCTTCGACAGTGTCTTCATACATGATGCATTAAAAAAAAAAATATTTGTACGGATGAATGTCTTGAACAGGTGGCCGTTTGAATAGGTTTGACTGTATTCCCAAAAATTTGGTCCTAGAGCAACGCACAGCCAAAAACGGCTCTATTCTCCCGTCGTTTATTCTCGTTTTCCAGCAGTCCAGTGTATGATTAGCCTATCCGTTATCTACTTCACTCTACACTCAAAAAAAGATTTCTTGCATATTAACATTGAACAATGTTACTAAATTGAAAAGAATATAAAAAAGAAACTTGCATTTTACCACACAAAGCCGAACAAACTGATAGACTGAATGACAGAGAAAATACAAATTCACTCGAAGACTGACATGAGAAAAGGAAGTAAAAGTAGGGGCGAAAGAGCAAGAAAATACACTGGTGAATAAAGATCCTTTATTACAAGAAAATAGGGAACAGGTTGGACGATAATTCGTTGTTTTAATCGACGTAGAAAAGGTCGTCTTATAAAGAAAAAAGTCTTAAGAAGAATTAAGAGACTCGCCTTTTGAAAGGGACAGAAGGCAGAGCCTGGGGCGGCGAAAAACGGCAGAAGGGAAAGGACTGTTTCAGCGGTATTTCAGTGTGGCTTTGAACTACGCCGTAGTAAAATGCTATCCATTGTCGCCAAAGAAATCTGGGGCTACTTCTCTTGCCCCGTTCTTTGACCAGAGGCCCCAAGAGGCCAGCTCCGGAGTCCCGCGGAGGCCCCGCGGAGTCATCTCCACCAAGTGGATCTCGTGAATACAGCCCAAGCATCTCCGAGGGGAGAGGGGAGGGGCAAGCATGTCTCCCACGGCGCCTTAGCAAGTGGGCGTGGCGTGTTTTGTCGTAATGTACAATGTACAGTAAACCTCTTGATGGAGGAAAGTTGTCTTCACAAATGGGCACCTCGTTCCCCCAGGTGTTAGGTTACCCGGCCGCCTATAATTAAGGTATATTTTCTGTCAAAATATTCTTTATCCCCCAGCGACCGACGGTCCTTTCATGGGTGTTTTCAATAGTGAGGAACGGGGGTAGAAAAAGAAAGGTACTATAGCGAAAGGAAGATGAAGACTGCTAGGACAGGATGTGAGAAACTGTTAGTGAACAGAGGAGGGGTGTGTGAGCTTTTAA